TCCAGCTCTGCACCTTGTTGTTTCGGATTCTCTAGCATCTGCAGTTCCTACTATCGCTGAAAGTCTGAACCCTGTTTCCATGTTCCTCCAGGTACTATGTTTCAATGACTATACAATTTTAGAATTTGGATAAGTGAAGATTCTAGATTATTTGATTATAAAATATTATAAGTTTGTGCTAAATCGATAATAGTGAATAAAGGTTGCTACAGCAAATTTAATTCAGTCATTCTACAAACTGAATGGCAAATTCCAGAACTTTGGAATGAGACTAAAGCCGTTCCAATTTACATAATCTTCACATTTGGATTATACTGGTCTTACCTGGTTTGATGCTATTAAATTCTTTTTCAATTGCTTCTTCACTGGTTGGTAGCATAAGATTACGTACATATAAAATTTTGACTGATGACATTGTTTCCTCATCAACTTCAACCTCTGGTTCAGCCCAGTCCACTGCTATTGGGTGTCCCCATAACTGAATCCTTCCTGAATTGGAAAGACAGCATGTGTCAGTAACAAGTGTCTTCATTAAGTGGTACATTGAGAGCCACTAGCTCTGAGAGGTAAGGTTCCACTTGCTAGTTTGCATTGTATCATTCAGTATTTGAAGATGGTTGGCTTTGATTATTACAGACGTATCCAGCATCGCTTCCAAGCTGTGCATTTGCATAGCAACCAGGAATTTCCCAAACATGTCAAGTAAAAATTGGCTTCTTCAAGTTATTGTGTGTTGTGGCTGTGAAAGACTTTAGTGCACACTAAAATAATAGGTCTCTAAACAACTGAGATGAATTAAGATTGATTAAAAATTAATACAGGTATTAGAAATACCAATGGCACCTCAGCTTGAAGATCTGCTGTGGAAAACTGTGCCCTCTCGTGCAAAACTTATACCAAATGTAGGGATATCAGGTATTAGCAGTTGGCTGACAGTTGCAGATGGCATAAATCTTCAAAGATTTAGCACAGGTCTGGTGTGGCAACTGGGTTTCTGCGGTGCACCAGGATTGTATAATTTTCCAAGGTTTTCAAGAACCATTGACAGGATAGCGAAACTAGATGCTGGAACAAGGTCACTTTCCAAGACATATTAGCCCCCTTTATTGGGATGATCTTATTCCAGTAAGATCTGACCTTCAGAAAGAAGAGGCATTTCTCTAGATCTTGATGGCATTTAACTCTGGGTGTGTTTGCATTTTTATAGCATTAGCCAGCACACAGGCTGCACAGGAAGTCTAGAATCAGCACTGAGTTGAATTTTACCTCCTGAAGATTTCTTAATTTATAGATATGAGGTTGTTACTGATTGCAACCTCTAAGTATTTACATTTCAACTGTTAGGAGAGAAGACTTGCACATGCTCATTCATCAAACTCACTCCAAGGCAAAGTTTTAAGTTTAGTCAGGCAGCATACAGGACCATAACAGCCCCCCTCCGATGATCAAAAATGCCCTCAACCACATCTCTTGCACTTCTGCCCTCACATTCCCCCGACAAAAATAAGGACAGAGTCCCCCTGGTCCTCACATATCACCCCACCAACCTCTGCATCCAATGTATCATTCTCCGCTACCTACAATCCGAACCCACAACCAAAGAGATATTTCCCTCCCCACCCCATCTGCCTTCCGTAGGGACCGCTCACTCCGCGACTCCCTTGTCCATTCCACACTCCCTACTAGCCCCACTCCCCCCCCCCGGCACCCTTCCCTGCAACCGCAGCAAGTGCTACACCTGCCCCCACACCTCCCTCCTCATTTCCATTCAAGGCACAAAACAAACCTTCTACGTTAAACAGGGGTTCACCTGCGCATCTGTCAACATGATCTACTATATCCGCTGTTCCCGATGTGGCCTCCTCTACATCGGTGAGACCAAGCAGAGGATCGGAGACCGCTTTGTAGAGCACCTGCACTCTGTTCACGACAAACGACAACACCTTCTGGTGGCCAACCATTTTAACTCCCCCTCCCACTCCCTGGACGACATGTCCATCCTGGGCCTCCTCCAGTGTCACAATGACACCACCCACAAATTGCAGGAGCAGCACCTCACATTTCGCCTTGGGAACCTACAACCCGATGGCCTAAATATGGATTTTACCAGTTTCAAAATCTCCCCACCACCGGTCTCATCCCATGTTCAACCCTCCCTCTCATCCCCGCCTCCTTGTCCTGACACAACCTGTCCATCTTCTCTCCCACCTATCCGCCCCACCCATCCCACTGACCAATCCCCACTACCCCTACCTGCACTCACTTATCACTATCCCACTTACCTTTCCCAGCCCCACCTCTCCCCTCTCTATTTATTTCTGAGCTCCCTTCCTCCTCCCCATTTCGGAAGAAGGGTCCTGACCCGAAACATCAGCTTTCCTGCTCCTCTGATGCTGCCTGGCCTGCTGCGTTCATCCAGCTCTACACTGTGTTGTCTCTGACTCCAACATCTGCAGTTCCTGCTATATCTAAGCATATAGTCCGGCCTTACTACAACTGTGGGCCTGTGTTATTCTAAAGGCTTATAACACAAACCTAATCTTGTATAGGCCATTGATGAGCTGATTCTGTAGAGCTACTCTGCTTTCTAAAGGATTTTAGAGCACTGAAGATTGATCAGAGAAAAGTAACATTGGTAATTACATAGTTTCAGATTTTGAGAGAAGTTTGTGGAAGTTAACGTGTTAACTCAAGAAAACAAACTGAGTGAATTATATGGTCAGGTCTTTAATGTACTGAGAGGTAAGGATGAATTAGATATTAGCAGATGATTTCCTGTATAAACACACAACTATTGGATAAGAGTTGAAAATGAATTAATTTAAAGAGGGAGAAATTCACAATCCTACACGAAAACCATTCAATTTTACATTGCAATCTGCTGTGTCCTTGTTTGTACTGGGACTGCCCTCACTTCTGATTACATGAAAGTACAGACCCATTCACAATAAAATCAGCAGGTCTTCAAGCTGAGGTGCCATTGATATGTCTAATGCTTGTATTAATTTTCAATCAATCTTAATCCATCTCAGTTGTTTAGAGGCCTATTATTTTAGATTTGGCTTTGGCTCAGGACACAGGCTGGCAGAGAGAATCACTGCATAACCAGTTTCCACCCATTCCCAGTGTTTCAGTAAGACAATGGGGGACCCCGAGGTTGGAATTGGGGGTTGTACGTCCTCTGGTGATATCATTTCCCACATACTTCCGGAAGCTGGATGACACGCTGAGTTTAAATGCTGCTGATAATTTAGTGTCTCCGTGCCACTTTGCACCTGGTACAGGTTGGAACAGAGTACAGAAGCTTTCCAAAAGTTTGAGAAAGATTGGGTTGACTATTGAGCACTTGCCAAATAATGTTACACACAGGGAAGAATCTAGGCTAGCAAAGGACCAGTACTTATCAATCAGGAGTTGGAGCCTTGGCTTGGGAGTGCAAAACAGGAGCCAAAGTAGAGCACTTGATCCCTTGAGCCTGTTCCACCATTCAGTAAGGTCATGGTTGATTTGTTTGTGTTTCAAATTTCATGTTCTCATCTATCCCCAGTGACCTTCAATTCCCCTGCCTACTGAGAATGTATCAACTTCTCTCTCAAAACTATTCGATGACCCTGTCTTCATCACCTTCTGAGAGAGAGATCCAAAGTTGCACAATCTTTTTTTCCCTCATTTCTGTTTTGAAAGGGTGACCCCAATTTTAAAACAGTACTCCTTACTGCTGGGCTGATCCAGAAGAGAAAATATCCTTTCACATTCACATTGCTAACAATATTCAGGATCGTATATACTTTAATCAAGTCACCCCTCACTCCTCTAACCTCCAGGGGAAACAAGCCCTGTCTGTCCAACCCATCCACATAAGCTGCCCCTCTCATTACCAGTTTCAGTACAGTAAACCATCGTTGAATGGCCTCCAATGCATTTACATCCTACAATAAGGAGACCAAAACTGTTCATAGTAGTTGTGATGTGGTCTCACCCTATAACTGAAGCGCAAAATGCTTACCTTTCTGTTCAATACATCTAGTAATGAAGGAGAGCATTCCATTCGCCTTCTTGAATATGTGCTATAGCTGTACACAAATGTTTTGTGACACACGCAATCCTTCTACACCTCTAATCTTAATCCCTCTACACCTCCGAATTCCGTTTATGTAATACACTGTCTTTTCATTCTTCTGTAACAATTTCATATTTCCTCTCATGATACTCCATCTGCCAGATTTTGTCCATTCTGTTGCCTTGACTATATCAATGTGCAATATCTTTATGGCTCCTTCGCAACATGCCTTTTATTTATCTTGTTGTTTGTGAATTTAGCTGCCATTCCTTTACTGTCCTCATCTAAGTCATTGATCTAAACTGCAAAAAAATTAAGGACCCAGCACGGACCCCTCTAGCACTCCACTTGACACATTCTGTCAATTAGACAAACACCCTTGTTTGTATACAATGGTTTCTGGCAGTCAGCCATTTTTCTGTCTATGCTAATACATAACCCACTACACTATATACTATTAGTTTCCAATAATAACCTTTGATATGGAACCTTATCAAATGCCTTCTGGCAATCTGAGAACAGTACATCCACACGCTTCCCTTTATTCACAGCACACTTAAGTCCTTCAAAGAAATACAATAAATTGGTTAGCCACAATTTCCCTTTGACAAAACCATGCTGACTCTTCCTGATTACATTGAGTTTCTCTATGCGTGCAGTGCTAATTTCTTTAATGATGAATTCAAGCAATTCCCTGTGACAAATATCAAGCTAACTGGTCTATTGTTTTCTTTTTTTCTGCTCCTGCCCCTTCTTGAACCAAAGGGTTACATCTGCTATTTTCCAATCTGATGGTACCTTTCGTGAATCTGGCGAATTTGGAACATGAACACCAACATATCTACTATCTTATGAGCAACCTTGTCTAAGTGACTAGGATGAAGTCTATCTGGACCCGGAGACCTGTCAGCCCACATCCCTCCATCATTTTGATTAGTACCACCTCCCTCATGATTGTAATTTTACTGAGTTCCTATCTCCATTCTATCTGCTAATTTTCAGCTGTTGCTGGAACTTTTTTTTGAATCCGCGATAGTGAAGGCAGAAGCAAAACATTTGTACATTCCCTTGCTATATATTTTAACTCCCCAGTCTCACTCTTTCCTTGCTCTTTTGCTTTTTAAACACCTTAGGAAATTTTGCTACACGTTCCTAGCCAGCTTTCTCTCATACTGGAATTTCTTCCTCTGATTAGCATTTTATTTGTTCTGTGTTGCTGTTTGTTTTCTGACCAGTCATCTGACCTGCCACTAAGCTTTGGGCAGTTAAGAGCTTTTTCCTTGTGTTTGATGCTTTCCCTCAATTTTTTACTCAACTATTGCTAAGCTGACTATGATCACCTAACAATTAAGCGTTTTGATATTCATACTTTATCTTTGGAGTTTTAAGGCAATATCAAATGCCTGCAGTTCCCACAAGATGGTAGAAGAATGATGAATTTTCATAAAATTTTGAACTCTAAAAATGGCCCATATTAGTCTGCTATTAGTCAAAAAAGATTAAAATTTAAATTTGACAGTCACTGCACCTCAAACAGATTTCACAGTGAGGATGTGCATTAATGTTAAAAGCAGAGATAGTAGGAACTGCAGACGCTGGAGAATCTGAGGTAACAAGGTGTACAGCTGGATGAACACAGCAGGCCAAGCAGCATCATAGGAGCAGGAAAGCTGACGTTTCGGGCCTAGACCCTTCAAAAGCAGGATGTTCATGGCTAAATAGATCTCAGTGATCTGTCAATTACTCCTTGTAAAAACATGCCACAATAAGTTTCAAACCTGGTAACAATTTGCGCCTTGCCATAGCTGCGGCGCGATGACTGTCGTATTCCACAAAGGCAAATCCTCGATTTTTGGTCTTGTCTGCTGCACTGGGGTACACAATGACATCAACCACCCCTTCTGTAACCTTCTTCATCTCTGCCAGAATTTCATCCCTCCGCTTTGTTTTAGGAATCCCGCCAACAAACAGCCGGCAATTGTCCACACTTGCGCACACACCCAAGAGGCGGCCATTTCTGCAGGAAAAGCCAAGGCCCAGGTTACTTAGCTGATCACCAAATTAATATCTTTCATTGATTCTTACACTCCCGGAGGATGGCATTTTATCCATCATGCCTCGCTTGGGTCATTCAAGTAATTATCCAATTAGTTCCCTAACCTTGCTCTTTCCTCACAGTACTGCATTTTCCTTTGCAAATGTATATCCAATCCCCTTTGAAAAATGCTGTTGAATTTTCTTTCAATGCTCTTTCAGGCAGCATTTCTGCATTTCTCCATTTCTCCTTTGGTTCTTTTATTGATTCATCTAAATCTACACCCTCTAACCAGGTGGCCCTCACAGAATATGAGTTCCCTGATTGGGGCTGTTAATCTGCTCCAATCAGGGAGCCGTGGCTGACAGATATAAACAGGGGTGTCAGAGGTTCTGTTCACACTGAGAGCTGGCTCTGAGGGAGCTGGATCAGTGTTAAGGACTCTCCACGTGTAAATAAAGGATGGCTTGGTGACAGAATATCAGCCTCTGTGGAGTTATTTCATCTACATTCTGCATTTTCCTTTCAGGTTCGTTCATGGCGTGAATACATTTACAAATGTTTCTTTTACAGGGAGGGGAAACCCATGGAAATTTGAATTCCAAAGTCCAGTGCTTTAGGCATTCATAGTGAACTCTGATAGAATAACATGGAATAATAGATTATTTTCAATAGATTAATTTGTTCCCTCTGCAACCTTCAGAGGTTTCATGCAGGAACTGGGTAATTAACCTTTCAGTTTCAGCTCTCATTTGTTGGCTGGCATTCTTTAAGCTGTGGTGTAAGTCAGCAATGTCAATAGGCAAAGTACAGGAAAAAATTACATGTACTTCAACAAATGTAATGCCAAGCATGTATGAAAACTAACATCAGCATTTAGTTTCTGGTCTATAAACTGTTCTTGTTAATAAATACGACCCTTAGTTCACAATCGTGGGACCATTCTTCAGCCTATGTGGTGTCTGCTAATGCTCTTGGGTTTGGAGATATATTTGTACAGATACTGGTACATGCATTTAAAACTTCCTGGGGGAATTGAATGTGAATTTGGTGATAAAATTGACCAAACTTGTAACTATGCGTTGGGCAACTGGCTCCAACTCATGGATTTTCAGTTCCCCTACACCAGGGAAATGGTTTAAATATGTTAAGCTGCTTTTTCTGATTTAACACAGACTGGGCAGGTTTTCTGGGCCTCAGGAAGCCCAGGAGCCGCAGTGAGGTGAGGACAGCTCTGGGAACAACATCAATGCTTCCTCAAGATCCAACGTGTTCTCCACCACCAGACCACACTCCACCCAACTGGGATTAGATCCCCATATCCTCGTGGATTAAAAATCCTTCATGATTAAACACCTCAAGGGATGAGGATTGCAACACCTTCCCAGGTTCTTGCAACCTGCTCTGGAACGTTCCCCATGCAACTGGATGCTAATTTTTGGTCAATAATACTGACTTCCTGGTGAGGGACTCTCAGTCCCAAAAGCTATAGGTTATGAAGTTTAATCACAGGGAAATCCAAACTTTAAAGTTTCCACATCCTACTGGATCAATACCCTGATACAACTCCCTTTATCTTAACAGAGAATGGGCTTTACATGCTAAATCACTGAAAATGAGTCTTTGTACTATTAAGGTAATAAATTACACATAACTGTGATTAAAAATGTCGGATTTCTTTGAGTTGATTTGCTGGTGAATTGGTTGGATGTCATTTGCCAAAGTAAGGTATAGTGAGCAGTCTGTAATACAAGAACCTTTAATGTTAGTTCACCTGTGTTATGTTTGTATTATGACACATTTGCCAATGCTCAGTAAACATACTGATGGCTGGTATGAGTTACGTAACTCTTAAATTCAAGGCACTGCTTGACACCAGAATTGTATACCTTGGCTGTGTCATTAACTAACCTTATTTCATAATTATTAAGTTGTTTAATTGCATTCTTGGCATCTTGTCTATTAGTAAACAATACAAAGGCATATCCTCTATTATTGCCATTAAAGTCCATCATCATCCGTAATTCATATATTTTCCCGATCTGCAGGAGAAAGCAAGAAAACAATGAAATTAGCAGTTGTATTCAAGAAAGTCATGCTTAATGCAAGCAAGATAAGCAAATTAAGCAACGTAAATTACTCCTTACTCTTTAACCAACATTACCAAAATAGACAACACAGTAGAGCTGGAGGAACACAGCAGCTCAGGCAGCAACAGAGGAGCAGGAAAGTTGACGTTTTGGGTCAGGACCCTTCTTCAGAAATGGGGAGTGGGAAGGGAGCTCAGAAATAAATAGAGAGGAGGGGTGGGGCTGGGCAAGGTAGGTAGGGAGTGGTGGGGATTGGTCAGTGAGGTGGGAAGGGCAGATAGGTGGGAGAGAGCCTGTCCATCTTCTCTCCTATCACCATCCCACCTACCTTCTCCAGCCCCACCCCTCTTCTCTCTATTTCTTTCCCAGTTCCCTTCCCCCTCCCCATTTCTGAAGAAGGGTCCCCACCTGAAACGTCAGCTTTTCTGCTCCTCTGATGCTGCCTGGCCTGCTGTGTTCCTCCAGCTCCATGCTGTGTTATCTCTGATTCCAGCATCTAGAGTTCCTATTATTTCTTACCAAGAAAGATTATCAGTATTGATGACAACTGAGTGATTTTTGGAAACATTCCTGTAAATAACTTGTTTTCACAAGAACAGAAAATAGTAATAAAGTTACAGTCAATGGATGCTGCGTTTTACCTCTACTAATATCAATACTCATGGATAGTTAACCTACTTTGAAAGGGAAATGAGATTAATTTTCAGGTAAAACAGCAAACTCTTTATTAACTAACACCTATGGGATCAGGAGTGTGCCAGTTGATCAAATATTCCAGGTAATCAAGTGGTCCACATAATAAATATAAAAACACACACACTAAGCAATAGAAACATAATGCAAGGATATATACAACACTGTTATACTTTATATACAGCAAAATCATTAAGTAATAATGAAAATTTTCCTTAAACAAAATTTATCACTTCTCACTTGCGCTCTCAACTGACTACTTGGACATTGCAATAGTACAGTAAATGTCTGGTATTTCGGGTATATAGTTTTTGTTGGTTTTTGAGAGAATCAATTCTAAGATGCCAGTTGAAACAAAGTTTGCTGAACTTGCAAATATTACCTGACAGTAAGTTTCTAGTTTGACAACACATTGAAGGAAGAGAATATATCACTGATTCTATTCAACTCGATAATAATTCTTTGTTTCTGAGTTTGAAGGATGTATGGTTAAGCCTTTCTGTAATACTTTAGCACATAAATCTGTTTTGAACTTCAGTGTCACATGAATTCTCGATGAAAAATATTTTACTAAAGTTCAAATGAAAAATGTCCATGATATTTCTTTGTGTTAAGTTTATTAGACATAAAAATTTGATAGATAAAATGCAATGGGTCAGAAACATGGCTCAGTTCAAAATAGTGTTTTCTACTTTCTCCATTGAAGCTGACTGCCTCGCTGTCTATTTCCTATATTTTCAGCTTTTGTATCACAATTTTGTGCTTTTTTTGTTTATTTTGGGTAATGCTGTTTAACTGCCACCCAGCTGCACAATTCCTATAAAAAAATTAATGTTTCTCATGCACTCTTGAACCTCAGGTTCATTAACAGTACAGCTCTAGATAAAATTAAGGTGCCAAAAGTAAATTAATCAACAGAGGCTGATGAGCTTTCACTTCATCGTTCAGAGGGTCAAGAAAGGAGATTTGTGCAACAGTGACTATCACTTTGAGTTAGTCAATGAACAATGAGGAGTGACCAACAGACTGGAAACAGCCAAATTTGGTTTCCATTTAAAGAAACGGTAACAGAGTAACCTGATGTATAAAGGTGTAAGGTTTAATACTGACGTGTGGCTTAACCATGACTCACTATGACAATTTGATATGGACCTATCCTCCTGATAGTCTCTGCAACAGTGTCTATCAAGTCAGTGTAACATGTACCCAGTTGCTATTGGGGAATAATGTCAACTTGTTTAAGACGACAGCCCCTCTTGTTATCAGCAAGTAGATCTCCATTACCACATCAAGCCAAGAAGATCTTGATGTACTCTACAGTAAAGGAGGATGGTGACATTAAACCTACCCCACGGTAAGCTGTCGAACTGCTAGCCCTGTACAACATGGTGAGGATTGCTCATATCACACGAGGCCCATTAACTTGATCTCAATAATTGGAAAATATCAACAGCCCAAAAAAGTGAGAATCCCTGTATGACAATAATATCATTAAAGACACCCATTAGAAGGGTAGATCTTTATCAACCAACTCTAAAAGGTTTCATAAGAAGGGACAGCTTATGGTGTGCAGGAATAGCCTTCAACAGATAAGCAGATGAGCCAGAGTGGCATACTGTGTTATGTCAGTGACCACCATAGAGCTGTGAGAGATAACTGCCGGAAGTTTGGAACTACAATAGCTTAGGTCAGATATCTTCATAGTATAAATAAACACTGTTTGAAAAAAAACCTTGATATCTGGCCTGAGCACCTCTGAACAGACAATCCTATACCAAAACATAATGCATCATAACTTTACAAGATACCTTTGATAAAGTCTTTGTGTGGTAAACTCTATTTTGATCTGAGGCCTTCAAATATGAAGTTAATAGCTAAACAAAAGGCAATGGATGTTATTTGTAATTGGAGTTAACACAATGAGACAGTGCTGACTGTCTATAGCATGGTGTTTCCACGTGCCTGCCTGGGAACTTTCCAATCCTGTTATAGACCTGCAACCTTATGTTTCAGCGACAATGTTGTCACAGAGGAGGCAATCTAAGAATACAGAAAATATGTCAACATAGATTCCTGCTGGGTTCATTGGTGGCAGATTAAATTTCAGCACAATCATGGAACTGCATATTGGATGTATGCATAGGAAACCAGCAGACATATGTTTGTTTATCTCGTCACTCACCATGTCCAAAAAAGTCTGTGGCAGCAGTGCAGAGGGTTTCAGTACTAAATCAATTGAGTTCAAATGTTCAGAGGACATGCCGAAATTGTGGTAAAAAGTTGGGAACTCCGTGAGTCTGATCCTCAGTTGTACTATCAAAAACACATGTCTGATAGTCCTGCGATGCAGCAACTTGAGATATAAACAAACTGCCTCTACACTTTGAACTTGTGATTTTTATCTGCACTTAAACAGGGAATCAGCCACCAAATGACTATTAATAACTAACTCAAGGACAGGTGGTAGACACTTTGGAAACTGAAAGCAGGTGGCACAGGGAAGGAACAAAAATATATCTGTGCAGTGAAAATTGAACAACAACCTGAAAGGAAACAATTCCTGGCCTAATTTCATTATGAAACCCAATCTTGAAAAAACAAATCCATCGATGAAAACTTCCTGTAACAACATATTAACATGCAGATTTTAATTCTGTTAAAGTGTTTCCAGTGAAATAGACAGAAAGTAGGTTAAAAAGTGGATAAATAATATTACATTTTCCAAAACTGGTACAAGCTCATCTTCATAAAGATCCCGTGGTAATTTGCCAATGAAAATCTCACAGCCCCTCTCAGGAGGTGGGCCTTCCCACCCTGGAGGGGGTCCCCCATATTTTCTTTGTCCGTTTTCCTGCAATAAAAGAGACATCAGATAATTGCTGTTCATATGCTTTTTGAATACAACAAAACCCTTCTATAAATATTAAATGGGTTACACCTTCAATAAAGTAACCTGGTGGATATTTACACCCAGAAGTCTGAACAAAATACTTAATTCAGTAACAAATAACAAAACCACATGATGTTGTAAAATAAAGTGGAAAGAGATTTTATTTTACACAGCTTTTATCCCCCAAGTCCCAACCTGTGTGTGTGTGATTCACCTTAATGCAATCTCTACTGAGTTCTGTTCTAACTTCAAAGTGCTGGCACAGAAAAGGATATATTGTTTACATATTTGTTACTGACAAAATCAAATCTTGTTCTGATTTGATCTATTATTATTGAATAAAGAAAATGTTATTTTGTGGTCCAATCCTTCCCTTAAGATTTTCTCCTGCTTTTTGACGTTTTAATTTGACACTTAAAAATACTAACAAAAAGTAAAGGATTTTAAGTCAGCAATAAAAATTGAGCAGCCTTTAATATACCTGAATAAACATCAACTACTGATGCTGATAAAATGCCTTTACACATGATGCTGTTTCAGTCTAGCATTCATGAATTATAACTAGACTTAAACTTATACTGTAATTTTCACTCTCTTTTAAGGTCTATTCTTTACAACTGCTTGCAATGTTGATGCATCACAACAATTTGCTTTGCTTTAATGGATTAAATAATAAAAGAAAAATGAACAATATCAGGGTAAGTCAAAACAAATTTGTGTTATATTCTCTTTTCTGTGCCACTCCTGGATAAATTCAATTCCTCTCAACTTTCTCTCCTCAGTATAATATTGTCAGTTTTTTAGGGGTGAATCCAGGGATTTGCTCAAACACAACAAATGGGACAAAATGGTTATAAGTGCAAAGATCAATTCATTTCAGCGAATGATTATTATCCAAATTGAGGGTGAATCAAACTTCTCTGTATAAATTGATTTGTATTCTTGTAAAGTATTGAACCCTTATAGACTATGTGAAACTTCAACAACATTAGGTGTAAAACTATTGTGAACATTAACCTTGATCTTGCTTACTCCTTGCATTTTAAAAGAAACAACCTGTAAACCCTGAAGCTGCTTAACATCATTACATACCACTTCTTTCCAATTCAAAATTTCCATTTGCACAATTGCAGTGTTAGATGTAATGATAGATAATCCCAGCCATATCATAGACTTATTGTCATATTAAATTATTAAGATAACCTCCACAATTTAGAAGTAGAAGTACTGTAAGCAGTGATTTGGACTAACAGTAGATTTGTTCTGATTGCATTAAATAGTATAATTAGAGAAAGATTAGTGCAGGTTAACTGCAAATCAAACTTTCTTGTGGCTGGCCAAATAAATGATTACAGAGACCTGGCGATGGGTCTGTTTAGTCCCAGAAGTATAAAGCTGTGCACCTAAGAAGGCAAGGAAATACATATTAAATGGTAGGATACTGAGAAGTGTTGATAAACAAAGGAATATTTGAGTACGTGTCCTCAGATCCATGAAATGGTAGACAACATGATTAAGTAGGTATAAGGAATACATTATTTATGAGCTGAAGTACAGCGCGTGAAATGCTGGTGAGTTATGCTGGAACTATGCATAAAACACTATTTAGATCACAGCTAGGGTACTGTATGGAGTTCTGGTCACCACATTACAGGAAGTATGGAATTGCGCTGGAGATGGTACAGAGGATACTTAGAAAGAGATGAATGCAGAAATGTTAAATATGAGGTAAGATTGGATAGGCTGTCTTATTTGAAATGGAGGAGGCTTCCGTCTAAAGTTAATTGAGATGTATAAAATTAGGAGGCACCTTGACAGATTGGAAAGGAAGGATCTATTTCCTTAGCAGAGATGTAAACAACCAGGGAGTGGTAATGGTAGAAAGATTGAAAATGTATTGGGATAATGAGGCACATTTTAAAACATGATACTTAAAAAGACTTGAGCATGAAAGTAAAGTCCTGTGACCTACAGAACTACAGATCAAGAGCTGGAAAGTGGGAATAAGATAGACAGCTGTCTTTTGTCTGGAACAGACATGATAGTTTGAAAGGCAACTTCTTGCACCATAACTTTGCTAAGGGAGATAACTAGTTACTGAAATAAACATAGCAAACAAAAAAACTTTCTAAAATATTTTACTCATGTAATTTTACTCTTTTTAAGCACAATTCTATCCATGACATTTATAAATGATAAGATATTCATATTTAATGGTGTAAGTTATTCCATTAATTTGGACATAATCTTTATATTTGAGCCAGACCATTCAGAGTGAAATCAGAGTGGTAGCAGAAATCTGGAACTTACTCCTCCCAGTACACTCGCTGAATGGCAAATGGACCCGATGGGCCAAATGGCCTATTCTGCTCCTATGTCTTGTGTTTTAATTGAAGCTTTCAGTACTTAAATAAATAGATTCTTTGTTAAGGTGGTGGTATGTAGGCATATGAAGATCAGGCAGATGAATGGAATTGATGTCCTGATCAGGCAGGTGGGACAGTGGTGTCTTTACGCACCGATGAGAAGTTGTAGGGTTTAAAAACAATCATTGTAATTCTTCTGACCTGGTGTATTTGAGCTCCTACCTGCACCAAGCTATATCCTGTGCGGTGAATCAATGCACGTAATGTTGCTTCTTTTTGAGTGCCGGTCAATCCATCCCCGTTTTTTTGATTTGATTCCATTGTGAATGATTATCAGCAAAATAAATCAGGAAAATTAGAGGTGCTCACTGAAATCAAATCCAAATTCAAAACGTATTTGAGTAAAATTACATAAAATGTTTGGTTCGTTGTTTCTGTAAAGAAATGCCATTAATCTGCAATTGTACCCGCAAGTGATAGACAACACCTACATCACAGAATTATGAAAAATTACATAGAATCACTTTGAATTTACTGCACAGATACAAGCCATTCAACCCACTGCCCTATGCTCAGGTTCACTTACAAACCTTCTACAACATTGCTTCATCTCAGTGTAATCGCATAAACTTACATGTGTTGTCGCTCATGTGTTTATCTGCATCTATGTTATTCATATCAATACGTCTGGCAGCAAAGTTCCACATTCCCATCACTCTCTAGTTAAAGACATTTCTCCCGAATTATCTGCTCATTTTAAGAATAACAACCTTGTACTTGTGTTGAGGACAGAGGTTGGCATGGTACATAGCCCCATGGATGCTGGCTGCCCCACTGCCATGTAACATTTCAAGAAGCATCATTTGACTGGAGATGAGGCTTCTGCCCCTCACTTTGGTATCCGTGCCACATCACAGAGCTGCCACCTGACCCTGCAGTGCCATCAAAAGTGGTAGCTACTGCTGAAACTATGAGAAGACCCCAGAGTCATTGTGCTTGAGCCCACAGGAGACACAGAACTGCGAGGTTTCACAGGGTAAGGCCCAGGGGAATGAGGGTTAAGTGTCGAGGATGTGATTTGAAGTGCAAAGAGGGGAGACGAAGAGCCTACCTGTGGAGGTGGGACTAGGGATGGAAACAGATCTTGGAGAGGAGGGGATTTGATCTGAAAAGGAGGCAAATAATGAAGGATCTTGTCTCTCACTCTAGGTCTGAGCAGCATGACCTGCTGGGCATTGCTGTCCCCTTGCCCACCCAATCACTGAAACCCTTCCCTAGGCCCCAAAATTGAGGGCCGGGTGGAAAGTAGCCATTAATTGGCCACATTGGGCCTCAGTTGGGGTGAGGACAGACACCCCTCCTGAGGACTTGCCATCTCCTGGAAAATTGTAGAAAGATCTGGCAGTTGGGAAGACTACCAAGTGCACTCTCCGTCTGCACTCACCTTGGCAAGTCCCAGTAAATTCTTAGACCTGAAAGGGCCCATATCATTAAAATGGGAAACATAAGATCAGCAGACCATTAAAAGGTATGTGAAATTCAAAAAAACCTTGATTAAGATGACAGTTAAAAAATAAGGCTTATCATTTTAACAGGGCAGCAATGACACAGTTAGGCCAAACCATGTAACGGAGGGAGCAGATGATGGCAACTTCAGATGCTCAACACATCAATGTGGTATTGTGGACAGAAATAAAACCAACTTACTTTTCCATGAGTTTAGCATATTAAAAACTCACATTAGAACTGAATAGGTTTGTCTTCTGTTTTATTCTTCTGCGTTTCACAGTCACTGTTGTGACGGGGAGATGTCTACTTTAAGGCTCCAAGGTTATGCCATCTTGCAATAGAGGCCTTGTTGAAGGGATTGGAAAAGTGTAGAGCTCCTCTTCAACTTCAAAGGGCAAGGACAGCAGGACATTTCATTGCTGACAGTGGTCCCCTCATACCTTATAGCATGTGGCATATCATTTATGTAAGGTTTGAGTTTTATGTTAGAATATTGTTGCTCCATTACTTTTGGTGTTAGCCAAATTTGGAGCTGTCTTATGCTGGCTTTGAAAGCAAGTTGTATAGTTACAATAAGCAAGGAATTCCCTGAACAAAGGCAGTTATAGTTACTGTCTGTACCAGTGGGTCTATTTACTGTTTAAAACTATTATTGGGCAGGTCAGAAGTATATGATTACTATGCACTGAATAACCAATCTGTGTAGACAACTGTGTATTCCTGCAGAAGTTTACCGACTTTTATTATCTGTGAGAAGTCCCAATCAAGCTACTAACTATTAATTGCGTTCTGGGACCAGACGTTCGATCTTGTTGAGACATCCATCACAGTACATAATGATCTCAGGTAGATGTTGGGTGGTTTAACGTGTAGCCTAGGTTATGACTGAGATTTGACTATTTGACCATATCTAACACCAGGTTTAGAGCACCATGGATAAAAAACTGGGATCATTGTGTGGATACTATGAGTGCCTATGAGCTCCAAATGTATGCCTTACATGTCTGGGGTAAATCGTACCAAATGACACATGATTATGTCTGCTGGATACATCCTGCTTGGAATACAGTATGAATATGAGAGTGAACAAAGGCTACATAGAGCAGGACAAGTTACTGTAAGAGAGAGGAGGTGGGGGGAGAGATAGAGAGAGTAAGGTTTCTTAGCTGGAAGCCATATTCATTTGGGTTTTCTCAGAGCAATTCTCCTAACTTACATCAGGGAGGAACAATGTAGAAGATGGTTTCATTTCAGTAAAGATCTCCTCACTGAAATCTGTCATTTACTGCAGCCACAACAACAACGTCAGAACAGTGCAAGGACCCCAACATGACCAGTGTGTCTGGGAGGTCACTGAAGTGCTCAATACAATGGCAAATCATAGAATCCCTAGAAGTGTGGAAGCAGGCCATTTGGCCCAACAAGTCCACACCAGCCCTCTGAAGAGCATCCCACCCAGACCCATCCCCATCCCATTACCCTTTCTCTGTAACCCTGCATTTCCCATGTCTAATCCACCTGATTTACACATCCCTGGACACTATGGGAAATTTAGCATGGCCAATCCACCTAATCAGCACATCTTTGGACTGTGGGAGGAAACCGAAGCACCTGGAGGAAACCCACACAGACATGGGGAGAATGTGTAAGCTCCACACAGAAAGTCACCCGAGGGTGGAATCGAACCCTGGTCCCTGGCATTGTGAAACAGCAGTGCTAACCACTGAGCCACCGTGCCGCCCTCAAACCTTGTTGAGAGAAGTAGGTGGAAGGCACTGACTTTAACCGACAGTGACTGCAGGTGGTTTTATTGCGCATCTCAGAGCATACCTGTAGCTATGAGGCCTGGCAGGGGAATGAGTCACCATGGCATGAAGAAAACAAAATGAACTCTCAGACAACAAGAGGGCCCTGTCAGAGGGGTGGGAGTAGAAGGATGGATGTTGTTTCCTTGAGAGGAAACAGCAACTTCATGTTCTATAGAACTATTGCCAGTCCCCTTGCGATCCTTGTGATCAGTGACGGATATATTGTTGAGCTGCTGTGAAAGCCTGCAAACCCCGTTGGACAGTGTAATTGACAGCCATGGTAGCAGCAGTCTAGTCATGCAGGACGACTTCACTGAAGCATATACGGGGAGTACTATCATGCTGCAATGAAAGCTGTGCCATCAACCATCATACATGGCCAGATCCACAAATGTCTGCATGGAGTTGGCCAGCTTTTCCATGCTGGAAGAGCTGGACTCAAACTCTGTTCAATGTCGAATGCCAAGTTGTGCCAAACTCCTTTATTCTGCTTGATGTTGACTTTCTGGTGAGATTTCCAAGGACTCACCAATCCACACTCATCAGGGTTCTTCTGTTGCCCAATCAAAGTCTTCACCTTAGTCCTCCACAACATGACATGTGTGCAGCCTAAGGGTCCGGCAAGTTGATACCTGTAACTGTCCCCTTGTTCTATGCTCTTCCTGCAGACCACTCATATTGAGTGTCTCACCATGTGCAGATTCCATCTCTACGCTACCCCTAAATTATGTGCAGTATCAGTGTCTAAACTGGTGGCTGTAAGTGAGACATTCAATGACAGTGCATTTTTATTATCACTGTCTTCTTGCAAGTTCTTAATCACCATCGAAACACCCACCCCACCCCCACCCCTCCATTGGCCAGGTTGCATTTCTTCAATATATGAAAGAAGAAAGGCACAAAGCTGGAGTTGTGAAGTGCTGAGTAGATGAAAGTAAGACATGTATGCTCAAACTATCATCAGCTTGTAAGTCAGATGTGTTGTAGTTGCAAGCCATACAGGCCTTGGGTGTGTGATAGACAGTGTACACAGCCACATAATCTCATTTTGAAGGGGCCATTTTAGTGAAAAATAAAATGGATCACACAAATCTAAATTTGCGAGCACAACTGCTTGCAGTCATGCTAACTGTATTAGGATCTGTTGCAACACATCCGTGTCAGATAAATGTAATGATTGATAGAGATTGTTGTTACATTAGTTGGCAAACTAGGGAGTTGAGAAGTCTGTGAGGCTATTGCAATTGGTAGGATATGCCACTCAAAGATATATTTGCTGACCTTGACCACTCGTTCTTACTGCACTGTATTGAGGTCTTCAGGGTTTGAATCCCTGCACGAACCTCCAGGGCTATCAGTTTCTGATTGGGTGTCTGGATGGCATCCTTTCTCTCTGCTGTTACAGAGGGGTTCCACATCTTTCCAACTCCTTCAGCAATGCCTTTCCTGCAAGATGTCATAACGTTGGAACCTGCTGTATGTTCCACATTGTGTCATTATTCAATGTTTCCTGGGCCAGATTCTCCTCCTGCACCTTTCCTTTAAACAGTGTAACTGGCTTTAAGTGGTACCAACAACTGTCTCCCCTTGATGATGTGTCCAGTCAGTCAACAACACAGCCAACACTGGTTGTAAATTGAAATCACTGAAGTGCGCAAACAGCATGAAGTTGGCAATCTGTCTTCATTGATCCAGGTTAATTACTTGCTCCCACACTCCCTACAACCCCTGTGCCCATTTCTGGGGAGCAATAAGTTTAGCCCACTTTGTGTTTAGCCATGTTTTTAAATGGTGTGCCAAATGAAGTCTTGCATTTTTGTGTGTAGCATATTTCACGACCAGTGAAGATTGTGAAGGACATTACAACAAATGAAGTACTTTTTGAAATGTAGGCACTGTTGGAATTATGAAGGAAATACAGCAATTAAGTTGCAAACAGCAAGCTCCCAAAAAACAGCAATGTTGATAATGATCAGTCTGTTGTTTTGTGGTGTAGATTGAGCGTTAAATTTTATTAAGGGGACTGGGGAGAACTCCCTTCTGTACACTGAAATAATGCCGAGAGATCTTATACATCCTCCTGAGCAAGGCTCAGTTTAATGTCTCATTTGAGATGCAGCAACTTTTTTAAAAGAAATACAGAGGAGGAGAAATTTTTTTACTCAAATGTTGGTGAATCTTTGGAATTCTCTAACCTAGAGGGCTATGGAAGCCCAGTCTTTGAGTACATTTAGAGGTTGATAACTTTTTTGATTATTTGCGGCGTAAAGTGATTTATGTAAAACATGGGCAAAAGGCATTGGAGTGTGCAATCAGCCATGATTGTATTAAATGGCGGAGCAGGTTTGATGGGCTGTATCAGCTGGTTTCCTCTCACAGTCCAAAGACATAGAACAGTACAGCACTGTACAGGCCCTTCAGCCCACGCTGTTGTGCCGACTGCTGGTTAGGTGTATTGTCCATGCTGAACTGTCCTTCATGTTCAGGGATGTGTAGCTAGGTGGATTAGCAATGGGAAATGTGCGGCTACAGGGATAAGGTGGGGAGATGGGTCTGGCGAGGATCCTCTTCAGAGGTTCAGCGTAGACTTGATGGGTCGAATGGCCTCTTCCTGCCTGTAGGGATTCTATGATTGCCTAGTCGTATATCCATGTTCATAAATTCACTCATGGATAAAGGTGTCACGAGCTAGGCCTTTATTGCCTATCCCTAATTGCTCAGAGAGTCAATCAGACCAATGTTGGTCTGAAGTCACATGTAGGCAGATTTCCTTCCCCAAAGAGCATTAGTAAACCAGATGGGGTTTATGACATTCAAAAGGGGGTTACATTTAAATTTATATTTATTTTCAAATTCCACATACCATCTGCCATTATGGGATTTGTACCCTGCTTCCCGAATATTCTCCTAGGACTCTGGCTTACTATTTCAATGGTATTACCACCATGCCAATGGTTCCCTTACATTGGAACCCCATTAATCAGTGCCCTTTTCTCATTCAGTAGAAATCATAGTTCTCTTTGCAATTTTGCATTCTTACATCTGTCCTGTTGAATGCAAGATGTTTCCCCAACATGTCTCTTTTTGTCCTCAGAAATACTTAAGTTATGTACTACGGAGCAACTACAGGCCATTTTTGTAGAAACCTCCAATCATATTTAGAATATTACATCCATATTTTTATGTCTTATTTAGGGATAATCTCAAGGCCATGGTGTTAGCACGAAAGTGATTCAAAAAAGTGACATGAGGGATGAATAGCTTTAGTTATGAAGAGAGACCAGAGAAATTAGTTTGTCTTTTTTGACTTGAGAGTTAAGAAAGGGTTTGAGAAATGCATTAAAAATGACAGGTGTTGATAAAATAAACAGGAAAATTATTTCCTATGGTCAGTGAGTTTTGTTACTAGACAGCTTCAGTTTAAAATCATCATCACAAAGACAGAGAGTGTGGTTAGGTTTCCCCACAGGGTGTTATTGGGGAACAGAATGTCTGTCACAATCCATCATAATAATGTAAATGGGAACTGAAAAATGCATATAAATGTGACTGATTGATAACTGTGCCCACTACAATGGTGCACATGAGCTTTCCGTAATGTAAAGTTCAATGCTTAATATTTATTCAAAATTAAGATTATTTTTAAGATAAGGGGTGGCACAGTGGTTAGCACTGCTGCCTCATGGTGCCAGGGACCTGGATTCGATTCCAGCCTTGGGCAACCGTCTGTGTGGAGTTTGCACATTCTCCCCATGTATGCGTGGGTTTCCTCCGGGCGCTCCGGTTTCCTTCCACAGTCCAAAGATGTGCAGGTTAGGGTGGATTGGCCATGCTAAATTGCCCATCGTGTCTAGGGATGTGCAGGATAGGTGGATTATCCATGGGGAATGCAGGGTTACAGGAACAGGGCTAATGTGTGGGTCAGGGTCAGATATTCTTTAGAGCGACAGTGTGGACTGGATGGGCCAAATGGCTTGCTCCACCCTGTAGGGATTCTATGATAAGTTCTATGAAAGTAAAACTTAAATTATTCAGAACCTAAGTTGTTTTTATTGTATTAAATAACCGGTACTTAAAAAATCTGTTATGCACCTCCTTACAATACTTCAATGAAGTCAATAACAGAAATGGGGTAAATTCCAAGCTCTAATATAGCAGCGTACTAATAGCAGTAGGCTATTCGGCCCCTCAAGCCTGGCCCATACTAGGTAAGTCATTAATCATTTGAAAGTGGGCTTAACTCCCCTTTTTTGTGCCTGTACCCTACACTCCCTTAGCAATCATGACTCTAGAGCTTGAAACGTCCCCATGTGCAAACATGTTTGTCCCTGGACCAGGATCTCTAACAGTCATTGCTGGCTTTCCTTTATTGGTGCGAGAGAGAGAGTTCAGCAAAACATTTTCGAGTGGAAAGGAACAGTTCATGTCACTGCAGCTAATGCATTTTACCTCTGACTGATCAATCCGTGTGGATAACTGGGTTTCTGGTTGCACTCTTTGGACCTTGGCTTTTGTCTAAAAGTTATCTGTGGTGTTTCAGAAGTAGGGACAACATGTCGTAACTACACTCCGGTATACCCACCCACCCCAGCAGTCACGTGACGCTGGGCAGCCCCAGATTTGCAGAGAGGTGGCAGAATTCACTTGCTCTGCACTTTCAGTGCAATGCTTGGGGGAAACTTGCCTTGACCTGACCGGGCGAACTCGTGCTGACTGCTTCGGTTCTGAGTGGTGCTCGTTTACCTCCAGAGTGAAAGAGCTCTTTGGAAGAACCCTGGTTACTGTTTGCACACACGAGATAACAGGATTTTGGGTGTTTGCCTTGTGCAGATCGATCGAGGCTCGTTTCAGATGTGTTGACTTTAGTTCAAAACCCCATCTGCTGTCGGAGGCCATTGTACTGTACAGCAGAGCACTGCAAAATTTGTCACAAATTCACCCCAATCTACCTGAAAGTGGCCAAAACACCAGGGAAGGGACTTTAAGGCTCACGAGTCATTTTAAAGATGATTTACCTTCAACTTTGTGTGTATGTGTGTACTGCAATGGTTTCAGATGTTTAATTGCTTAAACAGGGCGTATTCTCGAAGTGAATCAATGATTCTCCCTCTTTCCTACTGTTAAAACTTCACTGAGTGCACCAGCGAAGATAGCAATGACCGTAGCCACCATCCCATCGCCAATCCCAGTCCAGCTCCCTGGTCGTAGGGAACATCACAATATAAATTAAAACAGTCCCTTACACAATCACGAGCTCCCCTGTGCCTTTCCCACGCAGACATTTCACTGCAAGGAAACAATTAACTGACCAAATTAACGCCAAGCACGCCCCCACCCTCCAAAAAAACCCCCCTCACAAATGTAGTACCTGAGCAATTTGAGAGATCAGCGCCCGGAAAAGTCTTCCTTGATTATGATGAGGTTTGCGACGTGTCACCAATGTTGTTCTGTAATCATCATATCAAAAATCCAAAGGTTCAGCTGGACGACTGTTTAACAATCAGCTCAGGTTAAACTTTAACTCAGTCTATCTCCCCACACCGCAGCCTTTGCTCGGCTTGATTGGCAACTGGAAGGTTATTGTACAGAGGTAAAACTGAGAGTCACGCTGTAATGGAGCTAGGCTTTACAGGAAGCTGTTCTCGTTAAAACCAAAACAAAAAATCCCATGCATTCATATTGTTTAATACAGCACCTAACAATTGTCCAATCTCCCATTAAGTATTTTTTTTAAAAATGTTTTGCTTGTTAATTGTGTTTTATATTTCCTCCATGTCACTTTAGGTTGATTTTCTTTTGGCTCTTGTTGGTGAATGGGACAGGAGCAAGTGACATCTGATGGGAAATGCTTACAGCAATTTCCTACAGTACAACATTAACTACAGGTAAAAAAAAACAATTCTCTGCTGATTGCATCCTGCAGTCATTAAGGTACTATACAAACGAACATCTTTCTTAGAACAAAGACGTGTTATGTGCAAAACTTCCCAAGTATTATTAAAGGGTAATCGATAGCCTTACACATGATGGGGCATTAGATACATCACCCAGTAACAGATAGGGGTTCCAAGGGAACCAAGGGGTTATGCATCAGTGTCGCCAGTCAACAGTGACTGAACAAGTCAACATTCATAACTGTATAATAATTTGGGATTTTGTGTAGAGGAGAGTTGTCCCAACGTTGCCAGTTATTCTCTGGCCAATTCATTGGCCATTGTCATGGACTTCCTAATGCATTTATTGCCTCTTTATCTTTAACATGTTAAAACTGAGCATACACTGCAAAGTGTTGGACTTAGATGTGTGTTATTGTGAATTTCTGTGAAGGGGGTGGGCTTGAGCTACATTGGGTTTGATCTTGGATATTGGTAGCACCAAGCGATAGTCCATGCTTTGGACAACCATGGGAATGCTGCTGGGGCTTGATGACCTCAGGAAGGTGTTCTTTGCTCCAGTATCCAGGAAAGGTGTACCTGACAGTGACTGGGAAATAGAATGACATCTCTTCCAACTCAGGCTCAGCTTCAGCATTTAGCTCTTAAAGCAGGAACAGGATCTTCTTCCTGGGCCCACCTTTCTTCATGAGGGTCTCAATAGTTATGTCTAAAGACTGATGACACCAACCATACTCGACATGACATTGAAACTCCTCGAGATGCTTCCTGTTTAAGCAAGAAAAATGCACTATTTCTTGAAGGTGCTGCAGTTCTTTGAAACATTTGACTTCTACCCCCTGAAATGGACGAGTTGCTGCTGTAAACAGTGATCTTTTTGTTACAGAGAAGACAGGAGCAGGAGTAGGCCATTTGAACCCTCTATCATGCTCTGCCACTCAAGATGATCATGGTGATCATTTAGATCAATACCCTAACCCTGCCCTCCCCCAATACTAGACAACAAGGTGCAGGGCTGGATGAACACAGCAGGCCAAGCAGCATCATAGGAGCAGAGAGGCTGACGTTTCGGGCCTCGACCCTTCATCAGAAAACCTCCCCCAATACTGCTTGATTTCTTTAGCCACAAGAGCTACATCTACCTCCTTCTTGAAAGACTTAATGTCTTAGTCTCAGAGATAGTAGGAACTGCCGATGCTGGAGTCTGAGATAACAAGTGTAGAACTGGATGAACACAGCAGGCCAGGCAGCATCAGAGGAGCAGGAAAGCTGATGTTTTGGCTGCTGAAGAAGGGTCCAGACCCGAAACGTCAGCTTTCCTGCTCCTCTGATGCTGCCTGGTGTGCTGTGTTCATCCAGCTCTACACCTTGTTATCTTATGTCTTAGTCTCAACCACTTTCTGTGATATGAAATTCCACAGGTATACCACTCACTGAGTGAAGAAATTTCTCCTCATCTCAGTCCTAAAATGTTTATCCCCTTATCTTTAACCTATGAGACCTGGTTCTGGACTCCCCCCAACATTAGGAACATCCTTTCAGCATCAAACCTGTCTAGTCCTGTTAGAATTTTATAGGTTTCTATGAGATCCTCCCCTCATTCTTCTAAACTCTGGTGAAAACAATCCTTACTGACTCAATTTCCCCTCATATGTCAGTCCTGCCAACCCAGGAATCAATTTGGTAAATTCACTGCCCTCCATCTATAGCAAGAACATCCTTCCCCACAGATAGGGGGATCAAAGCTGCACACAATATTCCAGGTGTGGCCTCACCCATGCCCTGTATAATTGCAGCAAGACATCCTCATTCCTGTACTCAAATCTTCTTGCTATGAAGGCCAACATACAGTTCATTACTTTACCAATTACTTTCAGTGACTTGTACACCAGGACACCAGATGTTATTGAATGTTCCCCTCTTTCAATTTACAACAATTCAAATAATAATCTGCCTTCTTATTTTTGCTGACAACACATTTATCAATATTATATTTTATCTGTCATGCATTTGCCCACTCAGCCTGTAGAAATCATACTGTGACATCTTTGCATTCTCCTCACCCTCAGATATTACATTTAGTTCCCCCATCTAAGTCATTAGCATATATTTTGAATAGCTGGAGTCCTAGTACCATTCCTTGCGCTATCCCATTAGTCACTGTCTGCCATTCAGAAAAAGTGCCGCTTATTCCTACTCTTTGTTTCATGTCTGCTAACCAATTTTCTATCTATCTCAATAGACTAACCCCTATCCCATGTGCTTTAATTTATACATTAATTTCTTATGTGGGACTTTGTTGAAAGATTGCTGGAAGTCCTGATAAATCACATCTACTGGGTCTTTCTGATCAACTCTGTTAGTTACATCCTTGAAAAATTCCAGTAGATTTGCCAAGCATGATTTCCGTTTTGTAAATCCATGCTGGCTGTGTCTGATTCCACTACTGCTTTTTAAGTGCTCTGGTATAAAATCCTTGATAACACACTCCAGCATCTTCAGATTTACCGGTCTATAATTCCCTGTTTTTCCTCTACCTCCCTCTTAAAGAGTGGGATTACATCAGCTACCCACCAATCTGTAGAAACTGTTTCAGAGTGGAAAGAATCTTTGAAGATGATCACCAATGCATCCACAATTTCTAGGACCACTTCTTTAAATACTCTGGGATGTAGATTATCAGGTCCTGGGGATTTATCAGCCTCCAATCCCATCAATTTCTCCAGCAATATTTCTCTACTGTTACAGATTTGCTTCAGTTCATCCCTCTCACTAAACCTTGTGTTCCCTGTCATTTCTGGTATATTTATTTGTGTCATCCTTTGTGAAGACTGAAGTGAAGTATCATTTAGTTTGTCAGCGCTTTCATTATTCCCCATTATAAATTCCTGTTTTCAGTCTGTCAGGGACCTGTATTTGTTTTCACCAATCATTTTCCCTTTACATATCCATAGAAACATTTAGTTAGGTCTTATGTTCCCCGTAAGCTTACCCTCAACCTCTATTTCCCCTTCTTAATCAAACAATTGGTCCTCCTTTCTGACTTCTAAACTATTCCCAAACCTCAGGTCTATAGTTTTATCCCGTCAATTTGTAGCCTCTTTTCTGCATCTAATTCTGTCTCTTGTAAGTCATGTTTTGGTCACCGTTCTCTTTGTATTCTTGTGCCAGTCAGGAATAAACAATTTTTGGAGGTCACCCATTTGCTCTGTGAATGTTTGCCATTGCCTAACCACTGTCATTCCTTTCAGTGACATTTCTCAAACCAACAAAGCCAGCTCATGCCTCATACTGTCTTAGTTTCCCGTATCAATATTCAGGACCCGCAGTCTCAAGGTCAACTACCTCATTCTCCATTTGATGAAGACTTCTAACATATTATGGTCACCCATCCCCAAGGGGTCTTTCACAACTACATTACCAACTTGACCTTTCTCACTGTACCCAGTATACATTTAGTTTGTCAGCCATTTCTTTCTTCTCCATTATATAATTGCCCATTTCCGACTGTAATGTACCCACATTAGTTTACACCAGTCTCAATGTTTTGGAGCTTGTGAGGCAGCTAGGGGTACAATGGGACTGAGAGATTCATGGATAGCACACTTCTGGACGTGGTCACCCTGGACCTTAAGGAAGTGCATGAGGAGAGGGAATGGGTGACACAGAAGGAGGGAACCAGGCAGGTAATGAGGAATTCCTCATGTCTCTCAACCCATTTTTCAGCCTTGGAATACAGTGAGAGTGGTGGTTCCTCTGTGAAGACCAGCCAAAGCCAAGACCATGACATTTTGGGTGGTCCTGATGCTTGCTGGTAGGAAGAAACTATATGGAAGGGCAGGAGTGATAAGGGATTTGTTAGTGAGGAGAGTGTGAGCACTTTTGTGGCTGTAGACGTGTCTCCAGAATGATATGGTACCTCCCAGGTGCCAGGGTCAATGATGTCATGGAAGAGTTGCAGAGCATTTCGAAGGGGGATGGTATTGTGGTCTATGTTGGGACCAGTGACATAGGAAGGAAGAGGAATGAGGTCCTGTATGCAGACTTTAGGGCATTAGGTGAGAAATTGAAAAGCAGGATTTCAAAGGCAGTAATCTCTAGCTTGCTCCTGATGTCACACCGTAGTGTGTATAGGAATAGAAGGATAGAACAGATTAAAAAGTCTGGCTGGAGAGATGGTGCAGGAGGGAAGGCTTTAGTTTCCTAAAGCAGTGGGACCATTTTTGAGCAAGATGGGACCTGTACGAGTTGGATGGGTTACATGTGAGTAGGAACAGAACCAACATCCTCATACAAAAGTTTTCTATTGCAGTTGGAGTAGATTTAAGCTATATTGGCAGGAAAATGGGATCCTGACAAGTAGTTCAGAGGGGAGAGAAGGTGAGATGGAATTAGAAATTGAAATGCTAGTAAGTGAATCTGGAAGGCATAGGATTCATAGGCCAGATAAGAAAGAAGTGAGTTTTGCAAGAGCAGGTGGAATATATTTTAATGCTTGAGGAATAAAACAGATGAGCTGAAGATGCAGGTAGGTACATGGGAGTATGATATCTCGAATATGACCAAAACTTGGCTGAAAAATGAGCAGTTTAGCAGCTCAGCATTCCTGGTTATACGGTATTCAGACAAGATAAGGAGAAGGATTAAAAAAAAACTGGCTGGGCTGCAATGTTGAC